TGAGGAGGAGGGGTCGGCGGATTTACACGCTGACGCGACACAGCCGGCCACCGGGCGCCCTGCCCTTTTCGTTCTATCATTTCCTTTTCCTTTAATTCCTGCTAGTTCCCGGGATTTGAACTTCATTTCCTTTATCATGCAGTTTCCTGGCATTTCCCTTCACTTCCTTTCGCTCATGTCAGCTCCCTTCATTTCCTTGAACGCCCCTTCACTCGCACTCCTTTCCTTTAGTTGTTCTTCATCCCTTCATTTCTCTTCAGATTCTCTTCGCAGCAACTTTCCTCTCCAGCGCCTTCTTCATGCTGTTTCCCTTGCATTTCCCCTTCGCTTTCTGCAATTTTCAGCCCCTTGTTTCGCATCGCCAGCACGCATAGCATCATCCGCATCATCCGGGATGATGCTGGCAATGCTGGGGGTGTTGTCCAGTATTAGGCACCCCCCGAGAACACTCGTTTTTGGACGAAGTGGGGAGATGCGACAAACAACCTCCAAATCCTTCGCCTCTTATAAGGACGGAAAACGTATGCGCATGGTCTGCTCATGGTCGGCGGCATGGGGCGGACAGCCTTATACCTGAAGGTAAGCCCTGCGGGCTTGGCCTGCGGCCCGATCACGTCCGGTGGCCGGATTTAGGGGCTGCTGCCCTGTGCCGCTGGCCCCTGCTTGCTGACAGGGGACGTCGGCACACTTAAAGCATATGAAAAAGAAGAGCAGCGCGATAATGATGATGTTTTTGATGATGCAGTCTTTACCCAACATTAGGGATGCCGAGAATCATTACTATGCAGGCGCATTATCGCCAGCAGTTATGATGAGAACTGTTACTTTGCATTTTTAGCATCACCAGGAGTTGTTCTGATAATTATGACGACGCATTCCCTGCATCTCAAACAAGCCAGCGGGGATAAATTCGCATGATAATAAGCACCTTGTTGAATTTTACAAAAAGTGGCCCTGTCGACGTCACCTGCCTCATATCTGCTGCTTTCTTTCTGCAGTCCTTTTCCCAATGACCGAAACTGTGGCAGTATTTGCACTGGTTCGCATCCAACTTCTGTGTGTTGTTAGGCCCTCGTTCGTCTTTTCCTTTGCCCTTCGATGCGTCACTCCCCTTCTTGCCTTTCCCTTTGCCTTTGTGGTCCTTTCCTTTTCCCTTCTGATCTTTGCCCTTGCCTTTCCCTTTCTTGCCGCCTTTCTGCAAGCGGTCAATTTCCATGGGACTAGGGCCATCTAAAGCTGACGATGCTGGCAACATAACTCCTTTGAACTTGTAGTCCTCGGTTGCTTCCTCAAAACCCATCAAGGTTAACTTCAACCGATCATAAGTGGTATCGGGTGTTAGCTGCAACTGAATATGAGTTCTCAACCTCCCTGGCGTACACCTCACAAGAGTAGTTACCAGAAGTTCATCACTGAGGTCCTGACCAGACGCTGACCGGTAGCTCGCTCTGATCTCCTCAATGGTGTAGAGCAACTCACGCACATTCTTATGCTCCTTCAAGGACATAAGCGCACTAACCAAACCCACTTGTTTCTGTCTCGACCTTGGTGCAAAATGTCTCCCCCGGGTGTGTGGAAACTCAGGCGGGAAAACCATGTTGGGGGCCTTTTTTTTGCTTTGTTCTCAAGACTTACTATAGCAATTATTATGACAATCATGACTACGCATCCCCTGCATCTCAAGTCAGGTCTAACAGCACACATGAAAATGATGATGAAAATGATGATGATGACGATGATGATGAACATGATGATGATGATGAACACCACCATCATCATTTTTATCATCATGTTCATCATCATCCTCATCATCATCATCATTATCATTTTCATCCATGCTCATCATCATCATCATCATCATTATCATTCTCATCATCATGTTCATCATCATCAGGATCATTTTCATCGTCATGCTCATCATGTTCATCATCATCATCATGTTCATCATCATCATCATGTTCATCATCATCATCATCAGTTTCGTCATCATGTTCCTCATCATGCTCATCATCAAAACCGTGGCGCTCTTCTTTTTCATATACATTGTCGTGATAACTGCTGATGCTGGGGATGCATAGTGATGACGTTAACTGCTGCTGCTGCTGGAATTCGTAGTCATGATTATCAACAGGATGATGATGATGATGATGAACATTATGAGGAGATGATGATGATCATGAACATGATGATGGTCATCAGCATTTTCACCATCACCAACAGCACCATTTCGTTTCAAGTGTGCCGTTAGAACCGACGGAAATGCAAAGGATGCGTTGCCATGATTTTGCTGATGATGATGATGAACATGATGATGATGATGATGAACATGATGATGATGAACATGATGATGATGACCATCACCATTTTCATCATCATGTCCATCATGATCATCATCATCATCATCATCATTTTCACGATCGTGTTCATCATCATCATCATCTTCATAATCGTCTTCCTCATCATGTTCATCATCATCATCCTGCTGATAATCATCACTACGCATCCTCAGCAACACCAGCAGTTAACGTCAGCGCCATGCATCCCCAGCAGCAGCAGAAGTTATCACATTCATGACAACGTACTGGCACACTTGAAACGTGTATGAAAACTGTTACTGCTGGTGATGCTGAGGATGCGTAGAAGATGGTGATGAAAATGATCATGATGATGATGAAGATGATGATGATAATGAACAGGATCATGAAAATGATACATGATGATGAACATGATGATGATGATGAACACCACCATCATCATTTTCATCATCATGATCATCATCATCATCACCTTCATCATCATCATCACCTTCATCATCATCATCATTTGCATCATCATGTTCCTCATCATCATCATCCTGATGATAATCATCACTACGCATCCTCAGCATCGCCAGGTAACGTCATCACTATCCCCAGCATCAGCAGAAGTTATCGCATTCATGACAACGCAGTCAGGTCAATTGGCATACTTGAAACGTATATGAAAAGAAGAGCGCCACGGTTTTGATGATGATCCGGATGCTGTGAACCATCACCCAACATCAGCGGTGACTAAGACAAGGACAAAGACAAGCCCTTCCCATGCCCCTCCCGCTTGGAGAAAGGGGTCGGCGGATCTCAATTACAACTAGGTTCATTCAACAAAGCAGGTCATTATTGAAAATTACGACTAATAGTTTATTAACAGGTAAGTTACACACATCAATATTAAACAATCAGTTGATACACTGTATTCAACCACAGCATTTTAACAATAGCGCAATTTGGATATAGCTCTTATAGCGAACTATACAGCACTTATACAGATACTTATGCTTATGGAAGTCTAACAGGTTCAACGATGTTTTTAAATCAACGAGGTTTTGGAGATGCAGACAACGATGCTAATGTTCAAAGTGGTAAGATACTGTTAAATCATACTACAACGAGTATGTCCAACGCACAGGTAAGCGCGACTTTTTCTTGTAGACGAAACAACTTCCCGGATAATTTTGCAGGACTACAATTAACTCAATAATAATGATCAATAGTTCTCAGGGCGCATCACCAGGTCAAAAGTTACACAAAATAGATACTAACGCTCAGTCAGTAGCTTTAGTGATAACACAACTTTACATACTAACTTAAATATGCTTACTGCTGTTTGTATAATATGATATGTAACAAATTTAGCACTACACCTTCGCCCAATTTAGGAATACAAGCCACATTTCAGCTGTTTAATCGTGAGTTCAAGATGAACAGAGATGGATGACTAGTGCAGGCGGCCAGTGGGAAACTTAAATAGGAGATGCTAATAATGGTCGTGTGTGGGTTAAGGACAGGTTTGGTTTAGGTTCTGTTGGTGTTACTGGTGACGTTTTAAGTTGCGCAGGGCAAGCGGGGTTTCCTGCCGCCGTCCAGTTCATATTTGAATTTTGCTGGTAATGGTTCAACACAAAGGTACACACCCGATGCAGTAGAAGGTGTATGTATGGCACATAACAGCTTGTTGCTGTGAGTGTTGGTGATGTTAGCGCCGCTTCTAATCGACTTTTTATGTGTGCTGGATTATTTCGTAAAACCATGTCTAATAAACCTGTTGATGTCTTAGGTAATATGTATAGACATGCCGATATCTTAGGTAATATTTGTACAAATGCCGATGTTAATTGTGACAATGTTAATATTGCTTCTGATGGCAAAGTAGCAATTGATACAAGTTGTGAGTTATACAGATATGTTAGTGCGCTTTCATGTTTTGATATGAGAAATACTGATGCTAGTTCTTCAATTGGGTTCATTTGTGGAGACCCTGCCGTTCAATCTAACATCGTTGCAGCAGCGCTGCCGATGTTATGGGAATTTATTTGCTGACGATGTTTATGTTAAAACTGGTGGAGCATGAAAAAGTAATCATTTTGCACCTAATGGTGTTCTCGTAACTGTTCATACTAGTGCTTATGTAGCAACCAATACCATTTAATCATTTGATTTAACAACGGTTTCATTGTTAGACAATATATCAATGACTACTGGAACAAATACATTAAAAGGAACAAGTGAAATATCAGCTTATTGTGATGGAGCCAGCTTATCTACAATTGATGCAAATATTCAGAACATCAAACACAGCGTGTAGAGTGTCGGATAGTAACATCGAATCATGTACCAGCGAGTCATACCTTCGAAGCAGACCCGCGGATACCCTGCGCTCAGCCGCTGTGCAAGAAAACACAAGCTATGTGTACAGGTCCGGGCTTGAAGGTTCGGAAGTGCTTTGCCTGGCGCATTTGTGCAAGCAGCATTGAGCAGCATCAAGCTTTGCTGTCGCGATGCTGGCTCTCACAGATCGCACTTTGAGCATTCAGATTTGAAGCATCTGGCGTTTGACCTCAAGCTGCCACATTGCAATTGCTCAGTGCCGCGATGGCTTTGCAGAGGGCAAGGACACGGCTTGGAACCCCTGAGCTGCAGAACATCTAGCAGTGGCATCTGCGCACACGTATCTCCCGCCATGGGATGCCAAAGGCGCACGGACACACAGAGAAATGCAGATGCATCTCGGAGATGTGCACGAGCAAAGAAAAAGCGAGAGAGCGAAAGAGAGCGACGGCCAGGACGCGGCCATGGCAGTCCCGGCCTTTCTTCAGCCGACGGCGAGTCGTGCATTCGGGTTCCTTAGGACGGCTTCGGCGGGTGGCTGAAGTCCACCGCCGCCTCCTTGGAAGGCCATGTCAAGGAGATCCGCGAGAACTCGAAGCTCATCGCTGCAGACGTGGCCTCCAACGTCAACCTGGAGAAGGCGGGCAGAGAAAAAGACGGGACGAAAAAGCACGTGCACCTCGCTAATCTGTTGCGCGTTCGTGAATCGCGGTTCGTGGCACTTCAGGCAGGGCGAAAGATCCAGCAGACCTTTGGAGGTGACGGATTCGACAGATCCGGCGATTGGCCCTTGGCTTTTCCGTCTTGCAGGCAGCGGGGTCCTGGCTCCTGCTGGCTTGGAGGAGGTGAGAGACTGAAAATGAGAGCGATGACGGAGCGCGCGCGGAGACCCAGGTGCGGATCGACGTGACCTTTCAGGAGGCTTGGAGTGCGTGGAAAAGCCGGGAGCCGTTCATTTCGCAGGGAAGCCTCGGCCTGAACCTGGACCTCGCCAATGGGGGACAGGCTGATGGACACGCATTTTTCAGACCCAATCAGCAGGTTGGCAGAAGCCGGTTTACGGAATCTTCATTCGATCCGGCCACACGCCACAATCTAGCTGTATCTTGTCGCGAAGGCCCATGATTGACCCTTGCCCCATGCAAGATCTGGGGCTAGGCGCGTGAAAGAAAACAACCCCAGGACCCGCTGCCAGTAGAGTTTCCCGCATCCTTCCTGAAACCCGCTTAGCCACATCTCAGCTTCCAAGCACGCTTGAGAACCAGCCCCCAGCAACCCGCTTCCGTGCTTTTTCTTTGTTCAGAAAATCACTGGGCAAGAACTTTAAGCAGGAAATTATTGATCCGGAGTGTAGGAATTGAGGAAAGTGGCTGAATGAAGCCAAGGCCAAAGCACAAGCCGATGTTGCAGCGTGCCACATTGGAGAGGGTTAAACAAAGCAGGCCGAACATTCTGAGAGATCATTCTGTTCATGCAAAAGACGGAAACGCCGTTGTCCCGACCCGCCTCTCGGGAAGCTTGGGAAAGGGAGAGCCTCACCAGGTCATTAAGATTACGCCGGGCGGCCAAGCCGACGCACTGGGCCTTCGCCTGGAGGAGAGAGAGAGAGTCGGAGAGTGCATTTCACCTTAACGAATTGGTTATTCGGTCATTAAGAATTAGCGTGAAGCTTGCCACTTCTCGTAATTTCATTCATAGGAAAGGCAGCGGTCCAACGATTAGCTGCTTGCCATTTCGCCCAGGACCGGGTGGTGGCCATTGCCGGGGACCCGCTGCCGTCGGAGGACTTCTCGGAGCGCCTGAAGCAGCGGCTCAAGCTGCCGCGGCCCGCCGGGGCCACGAGCGCCACGAGAGAGTCACGAGAGAGTCACGAGAGAGTCACGAGAGAGTCACGAGAGAGTCACGAGAGAGTCACGAGAGAGTCACGAGAGCGCGGGTTGCGCACGCGCGTCAGCCGGAGCCGAGAGAGAACAAAGCCAATTTCGTACTTCCGAATCCGGTTCGGAATGAGTTCGAACCGTTTTGATTGCAAAAAGGCAACTGTCCCGACTTGCGAGCCGGCTTCGAGGTGGACATGACCTTTCTGCGGATGCAAGAGCGCAAGAGAAACCAGAAGGAAGAGAAGGAGGAGAAGGACGAGAAGGAAGAGAAGAAGGACGGACCTAGAGCATAACACAGCCTTGGTGACCTGGTGCCTGCAGGAGCCAGAGGCTGTGTCAGAAATCACTGACCTTCAGGCGCCCAGTTGCAGAGGCGAAAGTTGCGACTGGTGCGAATGGTGCCAAGGCCAAGCTGGAGACCGCCCTGAAAGACGTGGAGTCCGCCAAGCAGGAGGCGAGACGGAGAGCGCTGAGAGCCGAGCGCCGAGCGATTTGGCTTTGGGGAGGCTGGGAGTCTCACGGCGGAGCTGCAGCTCCGGAAGTCCTGGGCAGCCCAGGAAGCAGCGGAGCTGGAAGCTCTCCGTGCAGGACTTGCCGGGGGGGCCTGGGGCCCGAGTTTCAAGTCAAACACGATTGATTTTCAACCGACTCGATGAGTCCGGCTGAATCCGGATGAATCCGGGTGCATCCGATGATGAATCCGGGTGCATGCGGATGAATCCACAAAGAAGGCCCGCATGTGAAGATCAGTCGAGCCAGGCGCAGACTTGACTTCGAGCCTATCGCACGTTCGCCCTTCCTATAACTTGCGTGAGCGGTTGCCTCATCGATGCCAGGAGCAGAAGTCCTGAAGGCGGCAAAAGAGGAGGCACAACCAGACACACCTTGCCATATCGCGTGTCACAACGCAGCAGTTTCAATTGAGTGTGAGGCTGACAAAGGCAAAATTAGCCTTCAGACTGCCATAAAGGAAGCTGAAAACCGTGCTTCCCAGAGTGCACAATGCTTGGAGAAGGAGCGTGTCAAGCTAGAAGCAGCAACAGAAAGTTTGGCTGCGGCTCAGTCAGAGCAGGCTGCGCTTGTGAGGGAGCGCTTGCAAGCAGCAGAACATTCGCAGATGACGAGATCAGCGATTCAGTTTTAGCAGCGGAGAGGCAGATGAGAAGACGGCCCAATTGCAAGCAGCAGAACATTCGCTGAGAGATCGCGATTCAGTTTTAGCAGCGGAGGGAGATGAGAAGACGGCCCAATTGCAGTCGTCTCTGGCTGACTTCAACGCTCTTACGATGAAGCAGATACCAGACGGCGGCATGTGGAGGAGCAGCTCAGACAAGCTGAGAACAGAAATCGTGATTCCGAAGCAAGCATCAGGGTAGCTGAAGACCGTGCTTCCCAGAGTGCACAATGCTTGGAGGAGGAGCGTGTCAAGCTAGAAGCAGCAACTGAAAGTTTGGCTGCGGCTCAGTCAGAGCAGGCTGCGTTGAGGGAGCGCTTGCAAGCAGCAGAACATTCGCTGAGAGATCGCGATTCAGTTTTAGCAGCGGAGGGAGATGAGAAGACGGCCCAATTGCAGTCGTCTCTGGCTGAGCTTCAACGCTCTTACGATGAAGCAGATACCAGACGGCGGTGTGTGGAGGAGCAGCTCAGACAAGCTGAGAACAGAAATCGTGATTCCGAAGCAAGCATCAGGGTAGCTGAAGACCGTGCTTCCCAGAGTGCACAATGCTTGGAGAAGGAGCGTGTCAAGCTAGAAGCAGCAACTGAAAGTTTGGCTGCGGCTCAGTCAGAGCAGGCTGCGTTGAGGGAGCGCTTGCAAGCAGCAGAACATTCGCTGAGAGATCGCGATTCAGTTTTAGCAGCGGAGGGAGATGAGAAGACGGCCCAATTGCAGTCGTCTCTGGCTGAGCTTCAACGCTCTTACGATGAAGCAGATACCAGACGGCGGCATGTGGAGGAGCAGCTCAGACAAGCTGAGAACAGAAATCGTGATTCCGAAGCAAGCATCAGGGTAGCTGAAGACCGTGCTTCCCAGAGTGCACAATGCTTGGAGAAGGAGCGTGTCAAGCTAGAAGCAGCAACTGAAAGTTTGGCTGCGGCTCAGTCAGAGCAGGCTGCGTTGAGGGAGCGATTGCAAGTGTTGGAACAACAGCTGGAGGCGAGCGAGGCAAGGTTCTCAGAGCAAGCACGTACGCACGAGCCTTGCCTGCAAGTTCTCATCGGCGATTCTGTCGCTTGGTGTGTGTCCGTGTGGGTGCCAGCAGTCTCCTTGTTTTCTCCCTTCCGTTTTCTTGCGCTTTTTGTTTCTTAGGAGGACTTCGAGGCGACGCGGCGGGTGCTGGAGCAGCAGCTGGCGGAGACCAAGGCCTCCCGCGCGGAGCTCCGCGCCGAGCTGCAGAGGCGGGGGTCGACCATTTTCCGCTTCCGAGCAAGCCGCGGAAGGATCGGCAACCCTTAGAGCCGGGATCGGGGGAAGAACCGGAAGTTCGGAAGTGACTGCAGGGCCGAGGCAGAGCTCGAAGAGAAGGACCAGTGGAAGAGACGCGCCGAAGAGCTGGAGCCGCAGCCTCAGCGACAGAAAGCAGACCCGAAAACTAAAACTTTGAGACGAGGCCGGGAGAAGTGTCTGAGAGGCCGGGAGCACCTTTGCACCTTTGCTTGGCAGCTTTTGGAAGCTTTGAGAGATGTCGGAGCCGTAGGCTGGCCAAGCAGCAGTGCCGGGCTGAAGCTGCGGACGCGCCGGGTCGAGCGTGGGGACAGTCCTGGACAACTCAAAGCCTCGTCTCAGATTCATGCTTGGTCCTTTTCGGTCTTGGTCTTGTAAAACCTCGATAAATGGGTGTGAATTTCGGCACTTCGGTGGACTAATCTGATGGATCGGGATTTATGTCCACCAGCGCGGGATTTCTCTATGACTGTGGTTGTTTGCTCTTGAATTTTGTTAGGTCGCAGCTGGTGGAGCTACGTGCCGAGCTGCGTGAGCTGCGGCTGGACCGGGACGGTCTCCAGGAGGAGCTCCGCAAGGCCGAGGCCGACCTCCGCCAGGCTTCGGATGGGAGCACCATTTCAAGACATTTTTTTTTAACACGATCTACACGACACGATGCGATGTCCTTTCCTTTTGACGATATCCATTGATGTGGAATTTGAGCGAGAGATCAGGCCGCTCGATGTTCGACCGCTTGCAGGGCCCGCACAACATGCAGCTGCCGCAAAGCTTTGGGAAGGCGGAGGCTGACCTGGCTGAGGAGACACGGCTGTAGCATCCTTGGCCTTGCGGTTGAAAGTGCATCGGCGACCGTGCGACGTTTTTGGATCCCGTTAGGCTTGAGCCCGACAGTAGGCCGGGCCGGGCTTGGCCAGGCCTGGGTGCCGCTAGCATCGCTCGCAGGCTCGCGGCGCTGCAGGCCAGGCTTGGCGAGCTGGAGGCGCGCAAACACGGGACACGACGTGCACACGACGTGGACACGACGTGGACACGACGTGGACGCGTGGCGCGAGAGGCGCAGAACGCCACGCTGAAGCGATCCCTGAGCCAGCGGCCGATCGTGTCCGGAAGCACGAGTGCAGAACCCGAAGGCCAGATCGATGCCTTTCAGGTACCAGTTCGCCCCCGACGCCGGCCTGGAGCTGCAGGAGGCACAGGCCGGAACGTTCGACACCGAGATGCAACTGTCAGAATTCGGATCAGGAGGAGCCCGAGACCGAGGCAGCTTCCATGAGCCAAGCCACATCAAGCCGACGCACAGCCAACGGCCAGGTGTCCACAGTGCTGCAGGGCGGAGCTCGCTTGGCCATGAGGCGGAGCTTGCGTCCGCGTCGGAATGCGAGGGAATGCGCGTTCGCAAAGCCCAGGCGCTGCCGGCGCCTGTGGCTGCTCTGCCGGAAGCTGCGGTGCCCGAGCAGAACAGCAGAAGTGCAGATTTCCGCGTTTCACGCAGCGACACGCCTGAAAGAAAGGGAAAGGTGATCGCACGTGGCGTTAGGTGCATCTCGGCCTTGGAGACGCATTTGAGATGGTTCACACGGCGCCTCCTGGAGCGGCCCTTCTTGATGCCCGCCTGCAGTCTCAGTCTGGTTTTGAGAGAGAGGCCTTGCGCCAGGTGGGTTTTCTTCTTCCACATCCTGGTACTCTGGTGCGTGGAAATCTGGAGACAGGCCATGCGCATTGTGCCTGAATGAGTGCGCATGGAGCCATTATCCAGGCTCTCGCAAAGCCACTTCCAATCGACCCTGCCGTGCGATTGGAATCAGCCTTGCAGGCATGCGGTGCATGCCTTGATTGCATCCGAGTGCTTTTCGGGACATCTCACATACAGTTTGGCTTGGCAAACTTGACATGGAGGCTGCCACCCATGGGAGCTGATCTAGGTGTTCGCGCCGTGCCTGATCCGAGAAAAGAACACAGTCTTTTTTCGGCTGGCCGACCCGGCGTCAAGATCCGCTCCAGTGTTTCGGGGCCTACGAGTCAATTATCACGATGACATTTATGGCCCAGAGGTACATGAGGTAGGTTCTCATGTAGTCAGTTGCATGTTGTACATTCAAGTGGTTGCCAAAGCATGATTCAATCACTGCTTTGGCTCAAGTGCTGAAAACAGCGCGTTGCACCGCGCTAGCCCCAAGGTTAAGGGAGAGGTCGCAGTCACGGAGGGGTTCGTTCCTTTTAAGGTCCCGGGTTCCCCCGTTGTTGACAAAACTGTGTTTCCCTCTCCTTTGAGTGGTTATCAGCCGTAACGCTTTTCGGGTAAACAAACCCTTCCGTGACTGCGACCTGTTGGTCGCACATGGAAGTCGGCCCTCACCGCGGCACACGCGGTGGGAAAGGGCCGCGTGCCCGATTGTACAACACTCTGCAACAGATCGTCGTCGACGAGTACAAGCGGCAGAACAGACGATTCCGGTGGATCAGGTTTGCGGACGCCTCGAAGCAACAGGTCGAGGCGCTCTTCTCCTGGCGTGAGTCACTGGATAGTTGGCACCTGTGGAATTTTGACCAAGAAGCCTTCGACGTGATCCAGGCCGCGGACAACGCCTATCAGCAGCGTCTCGCATTGGTTGAAACCACAGGAGTGGTATTGCCGCAGGGTGCGCCATCTCAGGATCAAGCCGCAGCCTCAGGCGCGGCGGGAGCATCGAGCAGTGCAGCGGACTGGCTTCGTCCTCCGACGCCTCCATCAGCTTCCTCCTGGTTGCAAGATTCGCGCACTCCTTTGCCTCGCATTCGGCCATCTGCAGAGGAAAGACAAGCCGCAAAGTCAACTCTTCGCGGGGTATACGCTAAAGCTGCGGAAACGCGGCGGGAGAGCAGCAGGGAGCGATCAACACAAAGATCGAGGTCCCCATCGCCAAGAAGGTCGAGGTCTCCATCAACATCACCGAGACGAGGACCAACTGCTGCTGCCCCTGTGGAACCACGGGCCCATAGTGTTGAACCCGCGCTTGCGCGGGAGGGAAGGCCATCCAGAACTTCCCTAGCCACTCGGCCCATCGTTTTGGCTCCACAGAATAGCATTTACCCTGTGACGAGGTTTGACGAACACGGTACCTGGGTATTGGTGCGGGAGGCATCACAACCACGTGAAGCGGCTCCTCGTCGGCGAGCGCAACGGACGTCTGGGCAGCTTCGCCAAGCCGATCCTTACCTCCTCGCTGACGAGACGTGGAGGGACCCGCCAAGGAGGTCCTCCACGAGCTCACGCTCACGGTCTCCTGACCGCCGCCCGGCGCCTGCGGAAACCTTCCGCCTCGACGCCTACAGCTCGGACGAGGACCCACCGCAAAACTTGGAGTCCATCAGGACGGGCAGGTCAGCATACGTGCCTCGGCGCGTTTACGAGGCGCCGACTCACTCCGAGCCCATCGCGCTTCACAGCCGAAGAATCGGGGCAGTTCAACCGCCGCCCCCAAAGGCCGCTCCCAAGGTCATCTTCGGCAGCAAGCCACCGGTGCCCAAGGAGGTCCCCAAGACAGTTTCTCCAGTGCCTGCAAAGGCAGACATCCCGAGGAAGTCACCGCCAAGGGCCAGATCTCCGGTTCGGACTCAGAGTGCATTCGGGTACAAGGCACCTCCGCGAGGCTTGAACAAGGCCGAACCCAGAAGCAAATCGAGCTCAAACCCGCCACAATTCGGGTACATCGTCAAGCCGCCACCTCCGCAGGTCGTTCAAGCAGCTGCTGCTAGCGCTGCAACTCCCGAAGCTGGCACGCGATTCCGCTCGCCACCAAGGAGGGCACCGCCTGCGCCCCCGCCGCCACCACCTCCGCCTGGAAGGCCGGTGCCGCCCAAGGAGCTTGTTGTTGCTCTTGACTGGCACGGAGTTCTTGACGTTGGGCAGCAGGGACCCCACCTCAACCCGGAAGTGATCCGACATCTCGTTCAGTTTGCAGCGGACTACGCACCTATAAATTTTATAGTGCTATCCTTCGTGGGCAGGGCTGCAAGCGAGTATCGCCGCCGCGAATTTCAGGTCGCCCTGGAGCACGCGCGGACAACATCTGGACTCACTTTTTCTGCGATAAAAATCGTTCACGAACGGTTGGGAAGGGGAGGCAAAGCAGACGCCCTGCAAGGGCTGGGCGTACACGCCCTTATTGACGATACAGCATCGATTGTCCGTGAAGCTCAAAAGACAGGCATCGCGGCGTTCCGCAATTATCCGCACTTCGGTCCGGGAGGTTTTGGCAACGCACTTGAGAACCTCGGTGAGTTCATTGAATCCCGGAACAGACAATTTATTCCGGCGGCGAGAGGCTTGCATCCATCGCAATACCTCGAGGAACTCCACCGATCTGCATCTCAGCTACCCGCCAGCCGGGTACTTCGGTAGCTATTGCTGCAAGCCGTTAAAACCGTCGCTTTGCGCGGTACAGCTTTTGCAATTACAAGCTTTCGATTTGCAGACAAATTCTCAATACAGCTTGGCATCATCCCTCGATAAAGCACCATAGTGCGGCAGTGCGGATCAATCAATCTACAAGTACAATTACAAATACAGAATTCATCAGGTGCAAAGCAGCAGGGCGCATTTTCTTGAGTGGCTCACTTGAGCGTTTCGCAACGTATTTTCTTGAGTGGCTCACTTGAGCGTGGCGCAATCAGCTGCCAATCCAGGGATATCTCCTCGTAGCACCTTTTGACACGCTGCTCAAAGCGCGTGGAGCTAGCTTCGTGTGAGTGCAAAAGTTGCATTGCTGTGTCATGGCTTCAACGGGTTTGTCACCGCCATCAGAACCCCGTTCAAGGTCAACCCCAAATAGGGATTCTGAACCGGATGACCCTGACCTAGCCATGGTTCCTGCAGCTATGTCCACAGTTCGCACATCCACACCTCAAAGAGCAGCCCAAACACGACCATCATCACCCCCGAGTGGTCCGATCGTGTCAGAACCGACATCATCCGAAGCTTCCCCAGTCATTCAGTTTCCTTCACAGGGATCGCAATTACCTGACCCGATGACTAACGTACCCGCTGCGGCATTTATAGCTGGAGCTGCGGTGCAGCAAGCTCATCGAGCATCCGACCTCGCTGCTCAGGCAGCCAATCACGCCTTGCACCAACAGCAGGCCGCCGATCAGGCGAGACAAGAGGCCGGATGGATCAGGGAAAGGGCTGTAAGAGAAGTTTCAGACGTTAGGGTTCAGGCCGCTCAGCTAGCTTCGCAAGCACAGCAGGCTGTTCAAACAGCACAACAAAGTGAGGCTCAGGCTAGGCAACTCATTGAGCAGACACGACAGGAAGCCTTAGGCCATGTCGAGAACGCACGACAGGTTGTTAATGCCACTCAACAGGACGCTCAGCAAGAGGTTCAACGCATTGTTCAAGAGGCTCAACAGGCAATCCTACAAAGGGAGCAAACCATTGCCAGTCAAGAGCATACCATTCGTGGATTGTCCCAGGAAAATTCTGTGATGCATCAACGACTTGGTGATCTCGAACGTGTTGTTGCGCAGCTCACCCAACAAGCTCGTGCGACCCCTGTTCCGATGCAAGAGTCCCCGCCGAAAGCCGCATCAATAGCCGAAACAGCTACGGAAACAAGCGCGGCTAAAGCCTCAAGTCAAGGCACAGTTCCCCCAGGAACCCATCAGCCGGTTGGAGCACCTCAGGTTTCAAGTTCACAAGATGCCTCCGGTGTTGCCGCATCGTCGCAAGGGAATGCTTTTACAAGTACTATCCCCGACCCTCCGTGTGGTTCTGTTCAAAGTTCAGGACTTGGTCACGATGCCCCAGCTGATTCAAGGGACCCTGGTGGGGGTGCAACAAGTCAACATCTCGTAGGCCATTCGGCAGTGCTAGGAGCAGCGTCCTCTGTTGGAGACGCAGCCCCCGGCGCGTCGAGGACTAGCGGGTTGGGTAGAGACGGTCCAAGGGATCAAGCCGATGTGAGAGTGCAAGTGACGGCTTTAGCGGAAATGGTTCAGCAGCTTTCCCAATTGGTTGCTAATCAAGTGGCTCCGCCACCTCCGCCTCCGGCCGCACCACCTCCAGTGCCTCCCATTCCCCTTTTTGGGGCGCCGCCTCCGCCGAAAGCTGGCAATGGCACTCATGTTCCACCAGTACCAATCACAATGTTGGGAGGGTTATACTCGTCATCCCCGCAAGCGCCATCGGCAGCAAGCTCCGACACATCATCAGACTCCAATGGAGATGATGATACCCCACAATGTCGAGTTTGCGGCGGCAGCCATGAAGACACTGATTGCCCATACCTCACCATGAATGGTGGTGGGGGAGGTGGGGGAGGCCCTGGCCAGTTCCCCAATGCAGACCCGTCTCAAGCTGCCGATCCTAGTGTAGGCATGACCGTCACCGATCACGCCACGCATGAGGAATCCGTTGTTCGCGTCAAGGACCTCAAGGATCTCGTGTTGCCATCCCCTCCGGAGAACGCTGGACAGGCTAGAGGTTTCGTCAACCAAGTTTTGATGGCCATCGGTCGACTCCAGAAGACCCCCGGAGATGAAGTTTACCAGTGGGCCCAAGCATGCATGTCCTCCACCGAGCAAGAACTCGTCGCGGACAAGCGTTTCCCACGGTTAGATCGTGAAATAGCCGCAAAGCTCCTTAAGACCTGCCGCAAAGGTAAGTTCGGGCTCTTGTTTCAGAATATGGTTGAACAAGAGAGAATCTCGTCAGGTGGGATGCCCGTAGGGAGAATCATGTTGCGTGCTATCTTCAAGCACTTTCAGTTAGAACGAGGTAGGCTCGGAACCTTAGGAGGTCGCAACTTGTTAAAGTTGTCTCTTGCAGGCCCGTCCCTTGCTGACCTGGATGCCTT